TTTATTCCAGAAATTTAACACTTTTAATTTGTATGCTTTAAAAAAATTTCTTTTAAATCGGGGTACAGTTGGTTTACAATGTTGTGTTGGTTTCAGGTGTACAGCAAAGTGATTCAGCTGTACATATACATATATCTGCTCTTTTTTAGATTCTTTTCCCATATAGGCCATTACAGAGTATCGAGTAGAGTTTCCTGTGCTGTACGGCAGGTCCTTATTAGTTATCTAGTTTATATATAGTAGTGTGTATATGTCAGTCCCCATCTCCCAATTTATCCCTCCCCTGCCCTTACCCCATGGTAACCGTAAGTTTATTTTCTACATCTGTAACTCTATTTCGTTTTGTAGATAATGCATTTGTACCCTTTTTTAGATTCCACGTATAAGCGATATCATATGAAATTTGTCTTTCTCTGTCTGACTTCTATCCTATTGCTCAGTCCCAAGCCCCCAAATTACCTCACTCGGTTTTCTGGGGTGTTTCATGGTCTCTTTCCACTTAAACCATCCAATTTATATGCAGCTTGTTCTTCCCTCTGTCACATGCATCGTCTCCTCTAGCCTCTTATAGTTTTTTCCCTCCAGCATCTCATACCCCTCCCATAGGCGGTGCCTTTTCATAGACTGACCATCTTCCCCTCCTTTCCTTCAAGTCCTATGCGTTTGTCAGGCCTCACCTAAGAGCTAGCGCCACCTGTGACTGGCCCCTCTCGTCCTGGTCTCTTCCTTTACGAACTTTCTTTGAACGGGGAGTCACAGAGTCATCAACTGGCCACAAAAGGCACCACGTTGTTCTTCCCACTTGGTCAGGTTACGTGACTTCAGGAAGGTCATCCAACCCGTTGGTGGCAATGTCTGACACTGCCGTCTCTATTTTCATATAAACAATCTCTGAATCATGCACATGTTCTTACATTATTCACCATTCAATCCACAGAGTCTCAATACTTATTTTATGATAGGCTCGGAACTGAAGAAAGATAGTAAGGACGAGTTTCGTGCACTTGCACTTGACGGCACGTGCCTCCCGAGGCACCTTGCTTGCCCTGACCTACTGCTGGTCCTGGTGAGACCTCCACTTGTCCTGAGAGCTGACGATCAGGGTGGGGTGGGGTCCGGGGAATGACTAACCACACCAGAGGCTACAGCAACATAGAGGAAGTAGTGATTAATTTGGGGGCCATTAGGAAAGGTTTCACGATGGAAGTGACATTGGAGCTGGGTTTTGAAGGATGAATAAGAGTTCAGTAGCAAGGGGAAAACATTTTGGTCGGACTGAAGGGCTTAGGGGAAGCAAAGGAGGCCTGAATACGCATGTCCTGTACGGTATGTAGGTTTTGGGTACAACTGGGTTTTGTCTGGGGTGCAGTTTCTTAGGGAGTTGGGGGAGAAGAGGTGATGGAGTGACCACAATTCAGATTTTTTTTTTTAATTAAAAAGTCCATATGCTCTTCTTCTAGTACCTCATTGTACTTCCTTCCACATAAAAGGTCTGAATAGATTTGGCCCTGAAACCTTTTGAGGTGCTGTAACATTGTCCGTTTGTCTTTCTGTGCCCTTGAACTACAATTCTGTTATCTTCAGGCTTCCCCCTCCCCCTTTTTTTTCAATCCTTCTGCTTGCTGCGTGATGCACATTGTGAATGCAAAGGTTGATAGGGTCATAGGTTTAGTGGTACTTCAACTGGAAGTTTCTGGATGGAGCAGGTGCTGTGCTGCTTGATTTCTCACCCTTGAGGATGATTTCTGAATCAATGAGGGTCCTTGTGAAAAGGTATAGAAATTGATTCTTACTGATCTTGGCAGGAAATGAATCCGTTGAAAGAATTTGGGGTAGTTCGTACAAGATGCCGAAGGGCCAGAGAACTAGAATCAGACAACAGAGCTCGAACAGACACGAAAATATACCAAACAAGGGGGCTGGTGCCGACACCACTGCTACCACTAGTGGGTACAGATTCCTTGCTTGTGCCACTGCTGTTGGACCTGGGGTGCGGTCCTCATCGTAGCTGCTCCAGTACGGCTTCCCAAACTGGATGGAGCTGCCACTGCTATTGTCAAGTGCCAGAATGGAGCCTGTGCGGCCTGTTTACATCACGAGGGACAAATTCCAAGTCTACAGTGGCTGTGCTGGGCCCAGACTCCAGCGCAAAGGGTGCTGAGAAAGTGAGTATCCAGCACTCTTAGCTTCCATCACGGGTAGCTGGCTCCGCCTCGTGAGGCTGCAGATTCTCCAAACACAGGAAGGGGACTCATGCTAAATGCAGGACCAGCATCTACTGCCATCTCTAAGCTGGCCATTGTATACATGCCACCAACTTTCAGACGCATGGGAAATAAAAGTGTATTTGCGTCGGGAAAAGGTTTGTAGCATCAGTCTGAGATAGAGGAAGGAAACTCAGACTCGGAGAGTTCAGTAGTGGAGCGAAAACTCTCAGTCTTAGATTACTTACTGACCTCAAAAGCAAAAGGGCTGGCTCAGCCTTAGTTAGGTCTGTCAGGGAGCTAATTCTGTTTCACTTAAGAGAAGTGAGATTTGAAATGTGAATGGCATTGCCTTGATTTGTGAATGATTTTCAGAAATCATAGACAAAATCAGAGAATAAACTTTGTTTTATCCTAATTAAAAACTTGAGTAGTAGAATAGGTGTGTTTCTTGTTTCACAGAAGGGAAAATTGTTGCATGGAGTAGCTCGTTTGGGGTTATGTAACGACCAGGTGGTCGACCCGAGGCTAGGACCTAGTCTTTCCCTTTTGCTTTCTGTATTTTCACCACGCCTTGGGTATTTGTCTGTAGGAACCCTGTTTTCTCTGGGTAAGAAATGAATTGTCTGTAAATGCCCGAGTACCATGAAGAGTATTAAAAGAACTCTGATTTCATGCCTAACGATTGGGTTGGTAGGACATAAACAGTAGCTTTACTTCTCAGGGTGGTTATTTGGATGAGGGATACGTTGCATTTCTATACTCTGGCTTGAAAAAGTAAACCTTGTGGAGGTGTCTCTTCCTTATTTTGAGATATTTTATACCATCAACTTCAGTTTCAAATGTATCATTCTGAGCTTTAGGTCACATTTATTTCGAGTCATTAAAGCATGCGGGTCAGGTGGCCCAAGAAATCAGATAGGCACACACACAGCTAAGGAGTTAAGAGTTTAAGCAAGAAAAAAATGTTGTTTATTTTTTACCCTGCAACAAAGGTATTTTGGGTGTGTGCACGTGGTCTCGCCAGCTGCCGTCTCCCTCAGTGTTAGATTAGCTTTCACTGCTTTCGTCTCTTCTGGGGACGAATGGAAACGGAGCCGGGGGGGAGGGCAGATCTATCACTTTGCCTCAGAATATCAAGTTTGTATAATCTAGCCTGTGATTGACAGTTGACTGTTCAGTGGCTGAACGCTGGCGTTCTCCTAGGGAATGAGGACGCAGTGCAAGAATACAGCTCGGATTTACGTTAGTCAACAAGTGTTTGGAGTGACGCACAGGAAGCCTAAACCATACTAAGTGCTAGAGATTGAATTGCTGCTTATTCAGAGTCGTGTTACACGGGCTAAATCAGTAGCAGCAGGACGGCAGAGCCAAGTTACTCTCTGTACCTCAGTTTCTCCTCCAGTGTTTAGAGGTATATCCTAGATCCCAGACCTCTCATGTGTGGCTAGGCTTGGAGGTGGGTGTTTTCTCCCTGTTGCAGGTGAGGAAATCCAAGCTCGGGGAGGCTGAGTACTTTCCTTTGAGGTCATGGAGCTAGTCGGTAGCAGGGTGGGGATGCAGATTTTGATCCGGGGCCCCTCAGCCTCATTGCCTCTTCTTATCCCCTGCCTTTCAGCATCGTATCAGTGCCCCCCACAGATCCTGAAAGACACGTGTGCACGCCTCCTCCGCCCTTTCACAATGGCTGTGTTTTGAGCTTGCTGGGGAACAGGTGCTTGAAAACACAATGGCTAGACTTTGTCATGATTTTTTTTTTAAGATACTGAATTATTCAATTCTGTGAAGTAGTCACTGAATTCGATACCCTTAGCAGGTTCGATGATGTGGGTGATTTATATAACTTCGTATTTTATTGTCATCTTTGTTTCCTACCAACAAAGGAGTCCTACGTACAGGTAGGTTTGGGAAGCGGAAACGGGCGATGGCACGGAAGGCAGTTTCGTCAACAGGTAGCGGCCGGAAGAGAGGAGATGACGCAGGGACGAATTAGGGTAGCCGTTTCACCTGGGGCCGCCGGGGCATTCAGAAGGGTGAGCGTCGGCCGACCGGAGGGAAGTCAGGTCCTAAAGGCATGATGGGAGTGAAGAGGAAGCAAGGCCCACGTTTCCCTATAGCAGGGAGCCTGGAGCAGGGAGCCTTGGAAAAGAGGGGACGGCCGGGTCCAGGGAGATGCAGGCGTGCCAGACTGTTGAGGTCAGCTGGGAGCCAGGGCCCTTTCAGCCTGAAATTGAGGGACTTCCCTGGCGGTCCAGGGGTTAAGTCTCCGAGCTTCCCCTGCAGGGGGCGCGGGTTCAATCCCTGTTCGGGAAACTGAGATCCCGCACGCCGCGTGGCCGAAAAACAAACAAGCAAACCAAACCAAACCAAACCAAAACACCTGAACTTGCGGGGCAGCGTGTGGCACACCGCAGCGAGGAGACCTAGGGACTCGGGGTCGGAAGCAGGCAAGCAAGTCGGGCAGCCCAGGCCTGAAACGGGGAGGCGCCCTTGCACACGCTTGTCCCTCAGGAAGCAGGACAGATGCACCTCAGTACTGTCACAGCGCCTCTCTCATCCGTCTTGCCCCTCCTCGTTTGTGCGAGGACTCCTTACCCCACCATAAAAGCAAGGAACTGGCTCAGTTATCTAGCTTTGTGGGGAAATATTCTCAGAGCATTTTTTTAAAAAACTAAAGTCCTCTCAGCATGGAGGCCTAATTGAACCCTCTTTTACGTGAGACTCTTTCTGAAAAGGCAGTCTTTTCTTCTCGTCACTTAAACGCAGTCTAACGTTTTTACGTAAGAAACACGACCGCCCTGCGGGTGTGTGGTGCGCGGAGAGCCCGGGAGAGGCTGCTGAGGTGCTGGGCCTGGTGTTCCCCGCGGGGCGGGCAGCCCTCGGTGTGCCCGCTGCCGTCCTGCTGCTGTGCCGCGGTCCCCGTCCCCGCCCTGGCCCCGCTCCCGATGGCAGCCACCGCTGGCCACTGCTCTTTCCACTCCTCTTTGTGTGCTGCTTCTGTTTTTTCCGCTCAGCAGCATCCCGACTGTCGGCCCCTGTGGCTTACTTCTTTAGCATCTCCAGGTAACGCCAGGCTCCTTCCTCTGGTTGGTGGATGGGCTGCTTGCGGGGCCGGATGTCCTTTTGGTGCTTTGCTTCATCGTGGCTCTTTTCAGCATGGTTCCGAGCATTTGTTTTCGTTGCTGGCGGTGGAGGTGCTTTCCTTTCCTCTTTGGACTCTGGTGTCTTCTGTCCTTGGGGTTCACGGCTTTTTTCCGCATGGTGAAGTTGCTGAGTGAGAGGCTCCCCTCACAACTGGTGTGTTTGTAGGTGTTTCAGGGCTGGCCGGGGGTGATCAGCCACGCGTGCTGTGTCGAGGTCTAGGGCAAAGGCCGGCACGCCTGGGTTACAGCTTTGAAAGTGACATCACCAGCCCTTTGATGACAGTGGTGAAAGGAGCCTGTTTTTCTCCTTCCTTTGGCATGATTAAGAGCATCGATTCTGGAGCCAGGCTGCCTGGGTTTAAATCCCAGCTCTCCCCTAGTTAGCTGTGTAGCCTTAGGCACAGGACTTAACATTTCTGTTTCTCAATCTGTAAAATGGGGATGATACTAGTACTCTGGAAATAAGGCTGATGTGAAGATTCTATATTATGTGATACATGTTTTATATATTTATAACATACCACATGTAAAAGAACATCATATGTCAATACAATGTATTATTACAGTTACGTATTATATAACATATATAATAATAGTTATAACATGTTATATATCATAATAGTATATCACTCAAATTATATATGATATTATAATATATAACATGTAGTGTATAAACCATGCATATAGAGTTCATAAATGTAAAGCCTTTAAAACAGAGCTGGTATACAGCAAGCAGGTGCTATGCGAGAGTTTATTATGGTTGTAACAACATTTCATGGAGTAGAATCTGTAAAAATACTGAGTCACTATGCTGTATATCTGAAACTAATATAGTACTGTAAATCAACTATACTTCAACAGAAAAATCAATAGGAAAAAAGGAGCTTATTCTTCTGGGTTTCTGTGGAGTTTTTTCTGCGGGGGGCGGAGACGGGAGTGCATTTTTGGTTTTGACTTAAAAGCAAGGCTGATTATTATTGCTCAGACTGCCCTGAGTGGTTACTTGTCATTTCTCTCCTTAATTTAAAGATGTCGTGTTTTCCTAGGAGTAGGTGCAGAGTGAATATGTGTAGCTTGATCTAAATCTGAACCACAGCAAGCACCTGGATGGCTCTGGGTCTGGGGCGGTAGCATTCGGAAAGCCTGGTCTCCACGTTGCCCGGCCAGAAGGTAACCAGCCGGTCACCTGCCCATCTCCTCGGGCCTCCAAATGTCCCTCTTGTTTTCAGTGCTTTTCAGCTCCCTTCTGAGGCTCTTGTGTTTGGGATGCAGCCATGGAGGTCATGCTCTGGCCCAGCGTTCATCCATGCTCAGCTTCTCTGTAGCATTTCAGAGGTCGGGGGCAGGGGGTCAAACCCATTGTTCCAGTTTGGGGTAACAGGGTAGTTTTTCCTTGAGAAAAAATTTCTTCCAGAGTACTTTTTCTCTTAAGATCTGTGTTTCACGATAAAGTTGAGCTATAGGAAGTTGAGGCCAGTTTTTTAGCTTCGTCCAAAAACACATTTTGTGAGCACCTTCGATGCAAGAAAAATATAAATACGGTCCTGCCCTCAGAGTAATTACAGTCTAGACAGTACAGTTTTGTAAATACGCACATGTATATATCATGAAATATAATAGGAAAGTATTTTTGGTACTTGTGAACACAAAACCAGGAGGGTTCTAGTTAACCTGTGAGTGAAACGGGATGGGTAGGGGTGAATCTTGAAAAATGTTTATGGAAGGGATTTTATTTGAGCTGAATCCAGAACATTGAGTCGGTTGGCGTGAGTCAGTCAGGGAAAGGAAGCATAGTCTAGACAGAAAACAACGTGAATAAGGGCACAGAACCTCCAAGCATCCTGGTGGTCTGAGAATGGCAAGAATTTGTCCTGGCTGAAGTGAAGTATGAGTGAAGGACAATGAGAATTTACAGTCAGGGGTTATATCAACGGCACGCTGGCGCTGCCTTGTGTCTGGTTCACGAAAGCTGTTTATTAAGTAGCCAGTAATTTTGCAATCTGCTTGTTAAACTGTGGGTAGCTTGAAATTGACAGTGGTGGAAATATTTACACCATGGAAATCGGCAAATATCAGGGCTTTTGTCCCCCCCGAAGAGGGCTTTCTCAGTGCCCTACTGCTGGTGATGCCCTTGTGTGCCCCTCTCTGATGGTTATTCTGTAGGGCCCCTCCGTGTCGGCCATGGGAGTCAGTGCAGGATGCTGGCAAGGGACTGGCACGGTCAGCTTTGTAATTTAGAAGGAGAACTCTGTGTCTTTGGTTTTGTCCCTCAGGAAACACGCCCAGAGAGGGAGCTTTTCATGCAGGAGCTTTCTGGGGAGTGTTCTTGGGACTAGAATTGAAGGGGAGTGAATGAAACATGACTGGACAGATGGAAGAGGGGACAGACTAAGCTGCTAAGGCCTGGGCCCCAGGGATGCTTTGGAGCTGGAAGGGTTCACCCCAGGGGTCAGGCCTTTATACAGCCACCATCAGTGCATGAGGCTGGCCCTGTGGAGGGGCACGCGGCCGCTGGGAAGTGGCTCTGCAGCTGAGGACACTCCCAGGAGAAGCTCCGCGAGCGGGGAGGGCGCGCCACGGGCCTGAAGGCCACTCAGGCTGTCCCACCCCCGCACCCACTGCACCCCAGCGGCAGTGTGGCGGATCTGTGAGCCCCATGGGAGGAGGGCAGCCAGGAAGCCAGATGGGAGAGTGTGACTGTTGTCCAGGTCAAGGGTGATTAAGGCCTAGATAGAGGAGCAGCCCCAAGGATGGAGGAGGTGGGGGAGGGCCGGCTAGTGAGCAGGTAGGTCTCTGGGACCCGTTCCGCCCGCCCGTGGTGGTTTTCAGCTGAGGGCCGGAGCTGCCCCCGAGGCTGCATTAGGCAGCGTCCGGAAACAGTCTTGGTTGTGTAACTGGGAGGGGCTGTTGTGTTTGTGTGTGTGCTCTTGGCATCTTGGGAGTAGAGGTCAGAGAGGCTGGCAAACATCCTACAATGCACAAGACAGCTCCGCATCAGAGCATTACCAGGCCCCAAATGTCGGTAGTGCCAAGGTCGACATGGTATTATGAGCAAAGGAATGCTATCAGGAGAAGGGGAAAGGAAGCGTGAGATGCCTTCCTCCTCTGTCTCTGCCCAGGGCATCTGGGTATTGCATCCACAAGTCAGTACCAGATTGCAAAGGACGTGGAGACAGTCCTTTACTGATGGGCAGAGGAGAGAAGAACTCTTATCTTAGAAGCAAATACACATCATACTGTCTCTCAAACCCTTCCCGTCTCCTATGGAAACTTGAATTCTAGATAGCAATAGATTCTCATGTCTTTCCTTTCCATCTCCCTTCCAGAAAGTTCCATTAGAGCTTCACCCTGTATTTAAAAATACAGATGTGAAGGCAAGCCAATAATACTAAAGGGGCTTTTGGAATCACTGCTGGTTTTTGCTACCATGGTAAAAGTTTTGCTAAGGAGTGGTAGAACTATGGGGATTATTGAGAAATGTGTTACTTAGGTTTTAGCAAGGTAGTAAAAATAAATGAAGAAAATGAAATTTAATCAGGGAAAACCAGAAGCTTATCAGCTTTGGGAGGTTTGAACTTAGGTTGTGAAGAAGGGCATGTCACATATCTTAGTTGGCTTCTAGCATGAGGACATTCAATTATAGCAAATTGGTAAGGACTTTGGTGCTTTTTTTTTTTTTTTTTTGCCTGAAAGCTGGTATTGCACAGAGTGACGGTCAGCCAGGCCTCTGAGGTGTCCTGGCCAGAGCCAAGGAGGAGACTCCAAGCGAGCTGGAGCAGAGGGGCCCCTGGAGCCACTGCAGCGCCCTTGGACGGGCCTGAGCAGGAGAGCGGAGGACTTCGGCAGGAGCAGAGGTGCAGATTTCTTGGATGTGCACGGGTGGGAGAGGTAGAAAAGGCAGGCACGTTAACGCCTGGCGCGCTAATGGACAGGATGACGGGCAAGAGCGGTGGGCTGAAAATCGCTCCTGTAAAGGGCCAGACGGTAGGTTCTGCGGGCCTAGGGTTTCCTTTGCATCTCTGCTGTCATAGAGTGAAAGCAGGCAGATAACGCGTGAGCGTGCGGTGTTCCAGCAAAATTTTATTCACCAAAACAGGCGACAGGCCAAATCCGGCCCATGGGCGGTAGTTTGCTGAGCCCCTGCGCTAGGGTCTTGAGGAGCTGGGTGCACTTAAGAAATGATTTTCATGTGCAGTTTAAGGAAGGTGTGGGCAAGGAGGCACAGGTAAGAGTTACGGCCGAGGGGGCCAGACGCGCTCGCCCTCCTTCCTTGCGTCTGGTCTCCGTCTCCGAGCCACCTCTCTCCTGTCTCTCTTTATTGCTTATCTGTTTACTTTGGCCGCACCACGCGGCATGCAGGATCCTAGTTCCCCGACCAGGGATCGAACCCGCGGCCCCTGCAGGGGCAGTGCGGAGTCTTAACCACTGGACCGTCAGGGAAGTCCCTCTCTCCTTTTTCTAAATGATTTTTAGTGTGTGTGTGTATTTTTAGCTCCTTATTGATTAATAAGAATTGATTTCCTGTTATTTTGGAAGTGTTAAATTGTAGGAGGAACCTCGTCTAGTTCTCTCTGTTAGCCCTTTGTAAATGCAGTTTAGCTATTTTTCTCTTGCGGGTAGCTCTTTAATTACGTTTTCCTCTATTTGCCACTGACCTTGGGTCAGTGTTTCTCAACTTTGACTGTATGTTAGAATCACCTGGGGGATCTTTTAGACATCCCAATACCCAGGCTGCATTTGGAACAATTAATCAGAACTCCAGAGGCAGGCCCAGGCATCATTAGATTCTAAAGCTCCCTGGGGATGCCGATGTATGGCCAAGGTTAAGAACCACTGCCTTGGATTTAAAGGAAAAAAATGTCCCCAACACATTGTCCTAGATGCTGAAATGAAGAGGGACATTTAACCTGCGTAGATAAC